ATGTTTCATATCTTATTCATATTTCATTTCTTAAAAGGGTTACTTCGTGTGCCAATGTATGAAATAAGTAAATAACGCGGGTAAAACTGCGGAGCGCCACTTGTAAAATAACACAAGCTCAGTTTAATATGTTTATCTCGCACCGAGTTCATGAAAACAGATTAGGTACCATTTTAGTTTTCCGTTGACTACGAACAATTGCCGTCCTAGGGGAGAGTTATATCACCCCTTCACAAACACCCATCGAGAGATTTCAGAGAAACGAAAATGCTTTAGCTGGAAATAAAACTCTACTTTTCTAGATTTTCAATTTACTCCTAAAATACCCTCTACCGCTGTCAACCTGCAACCCCAAGATTAACTTTAAGGTTTTAATTATTACGGGAATTAAAAAGATTACGGACATTTTTAGTCCGATTACGGCGTACTTTATGCCTTATCATAAACTCTCTGATTTTACGCCCGATACACACGGACCAGAACGCTTTGTGGAGACATAGGGATTATTTTTAATTAGAAAAATAAATGAGGAAAGGAAACAAAGGAATTTGAAGTCCTTTACAGCAAAGGAAATGCAATACGAACCTAAGTCGTAAAGTAGGTAAGAACTAAGTTTTTAGAAAATTACTTTTTTATTTTAAATGTCCATTTATTGAAATTGGATTTTAAAAACGCTTTTTATATTGTTGAGATATTGAAAATTTGTTTCTTAAATATCTCATAATAGTTGGTATATATAATATTAAGAAAACTTTAATATGACAAGCCACCATTTCGTTTCGTTACGTTTGTAGTCTTGATATTTGAATCCCGGGAAAATTATATACTTATATATAATTAAAACGAATATTATAAAACAGACTTAGTTTCAATCCCATGCCCCATATAAGAATGGAATTCAACTTTATTGAGGAAGATGCATGAAAGATTAAGACGCAAGCTGTAAAAAGTGATAAAGAATTCATTATTCCAGCGACGGTGGGGCACTAAATAGAGTTTCTTGTGGGTCACCAATGAACTGTATCCAACAAAACTCATTTCTCTGCATTTACAAAATAAACTTTTGTATACAGTTGTAGCACTCCCAGTCATGTTAATATAGCGTAAGAGCTGGTGTTTATTCCCCTGTTAGACTGAAATTTTAAATCTACACGCTTTTTTAGAATCTGAGGCTGCAAGACGTCTATCTTATTATTTTATATTTTAGGCTTTATTTGACAGAATGATAGTTTATTTTAGTGGTATTTACTTAAGTATTAAAGATGTAGTTTTACTTTTACCATTGAGCTATAATTGTGTTACGGGGTAACGCTATAAGTTGACTTTATTTAAAAAATAACCTTATGTATTTAATAAGGTTTTTCCTTCTTGAGTATTAAATTATATCCAATTTGTAAGTTTAAACTTATTATGATTCTTGAAACATAAACAATTATTAACTTATTAGGTAGAAATATTTAAATGTAGAAGGCTCACAACTAATTTAAGCTACACCTAACAACACACAGTACACTAAATACACACAAATTGGACACACATTGGCACTTTTCTGATAGTGTCTACAATATTCTGTATATTCGAGACACTATAACAAATATATAAATTACATTAATTATAATGCCATACCATTAACTTAAATTGTATTTATAACGAGCTTATGAAATGACTTCTCTAATAAAATGTGTTCAAAACGGAACCAGAGTAGTGTAAGTTAAACGCTACGAAGAAACTTTACGAGCATTTTAATAAATCGCGAACATTCCCGAAGCGAGTTTTAAGTGCTTTAAAAGTCTTTAAATGTGTCAAAATATAGAATTATTACATTGTAAGAAAGGACACATAAATCTAAAAGTATATTATTCAATTAGGAATCTTTTTGCAAATGTCAAAATCATATTATGACACGAGTGATATTCGAACTCCCGACTACTTTGTTTTGTGTTGTTTTAATAATTGTACTACCTTAATCTATTTATATATGCAATTGTAAATTCAACTTTAACACTTAAAGTATTTAGGTATCAATACCCTATTTTTTCAGAGTATGATATCAATATGGATGTAGTTAGAAAGTTATAACGTTAGTTTGTTATTATTTTTTATGTTAGATCAAAAAATATATTTAGGACATAATTATAATCGTTTAACTTTTATTTCACAGTATTGTTACAATATAATCCGATAAGTTATTTGCAATTTTGGTGTTTGTAAATGGATTATTCATTTCTTTTTATTTATTTATTCGAATAAAAGGAGCTGTAGCCCAGAAATATCAACAGTGTTTACCCCATAATACTGTATATAATACAGCAACATAGTTTTCAACAAGATCCCCACCTCCTAGCCTAATAGGACATTCTAGTTTCATACATAATTCAAAAAGCGTTGTAACATTGCACTGCAATGCAGCAAGATACCTTGGTACACAAGACATTTTCCCAAACTACTAATTGTGGAATCAAATTGAGATAAATTGGTGTTCAGAAGCGTACTGATTATCTGAGGAACTAATAGCTGTGAATGCACGTGGGAGTAGCTTAAATAACTAAAGAGGCTGCTTTAGCTATGTCAATCTAGCACAAATAGGTATGAATATTGAAGAGGTCGTCAAGTTTACGATTACAGAGCTACTCGTATAAGGAAGTTCGCATTGACATACACGTCTGGCTCGTTGGTGAAATAAACAAAGCGTGTGAGTTCGATGGTTGAAATATTGTCTGGAATATATGCACGTTACATATGTAGTAGTAAGTAGTAGGATTTCGTTAGGGTCGCAGGTGGAAAAGCCCGAAAGTGTATGTGTAAATGTTTTGATGTCAGTCCGTGGATTTCTATGTCCAGAGCCAAAATAGGTCAAAAGCTTACCGTAATTATGTTATAGAGCTGGGGTATTTCGTCTTACATTAAGTTCACTTCAGTCTGTCATCTTAGGTAATAAAGAAATATGGTTGGTACGACGGTGTAAATAAATTATATTAAGTAAAGTTTTCCCGTTCACAAATCTTTTAATGACAAGTCAATATCATCTTCGAGATCCATCCTAAAACAAGAACCGACAATCCGAGATTTGAAAAATGCGAAAAGTTTTTCGTTTAAGTCAGTGGCCGCGTTTCGCATTATCGTGAAACCTTTGAAGATCTGATCCGTAACAAAATCCACGTTCGAGTTTATGTGGAACTATAAAATTTTTAATTTTAAAGACGCTTGGCTTTGCGAAATTTGACTTGGCGCTTTTATTTCGTAGTTCTCTCGTCGGACTGTTAACGATTCTGTTTTTATGCGAACTAGCTGTAAACAATAAATAACTGTGTGGGTCTGTAACCTCGATTCGTTATATAGTTTCACCAAAACTGTAAGAAAAAATTATAGAAGGCGGACCACCTTATCTATTATAATTTTTCATTTTTATTACGAATGACACCCGATAGCTGCTCCCGACAGCCGCGCCCGTTGCTACTTTGCAAAAAAGCTGCGCTAAGTATGTAGAGAATGTTTATTTCATTTTATAATTACATATTATGTAAGAAACAAATGAGCAACATATGTATTTTTTCAACATTAGAAGGTAGCCAAACTACAGCGCAAATCAGCTCAAGAAAAATATTGTAATTCTTCTCAAAAAACAGTGGTGGATGTCGACAGCATAGTTTCGGGTATTAAGATCGCTTCTAAAGCGAGGGGCGGACACATGTCTGTGTTAGTTTCACTAAACTCTTGCCCACTGTCCAACCGAAATTTGAACCCATTACAGCTTACTATCGTGGGCACGACTTGAGCTAAAGGAGATGGTTACATTCTAATGGACGCGAAAATTTCAAATTCAAATTTCGTGTAGTTACTTTTTGCCAGTTATTTCTTACGTCCAATATGTAGTTTTATAATAGGTATCTCTTCTCTACCCACATAAGTTATTATACTACTAGAAATTAGCATATGAGCAAATTGTAAATATTTTAACTGCGGTACGAGTTTCAGATATCCTGTTCATGATTGAGTTGGGTATGTAGGAATCCATTCAGGAAGAGATCATTACGCAGGGCGCAATGTAATTTCCCGAACATTATTTATATACATATGTATATATTTCTATGGATTCGTTTCAAATAATCGTATCGATCCCTTTTTGACTGACAAAAAGGATGTTTGACGATTTTTTGTTTTTAATAGTCACTCGTCAGTTATAATCATTTACAGTTAACTAGAATTTGAATTAGTAGCTATTGTACTTTGTTTAATATATGAGGTTAAGTCGAAAAGTATTTTGGTAATATTCAAGGGTCTTTCAATTATTATACAAATTATTATATAAACATTTAAAAAAAAGTTAAAAATATTACATAAATTATAATATATACAGTATATGGCTATAAATTCGCGTTAGTCCTGTGGTTATCCTTGTTGTAATAGACTACACTTACGCCATCTAGTATATATAATATAAAAGAAATCACGCACTTTAATTTTAGGGCGAAAACCAACGCGCTTGCGTGCGCATCGATCCTAAAATAAACACAATTAATATTGTTGGTAAACATTACTTTTTTGTAATTGATAAAAAATATTTGAAACAAGTTTTACTTTGAATGCTTAAGTAGAGAGGTAACACAAAAAATATTTCTTAATATATATATTTTATTATTAAGTTGTGTTTTTAAATTATGTAGGAATCGGCGGTTTAGTTTTTCGAATTAAGGTTAATAAAAAGAGGACATATGACCTACGTTGAAACCAGTTTATTTACAAATTTAGTTTAACAAAACTAAATACAATGTAAACACAAAATTCGGAAGCCATCACTTGTGGGGTTTGGAGTTTGCGCAACGGATACCTTTGTAGTTCTAAAACATGCCAGTAGAGGCGCTGTCGTCGCGCACGCTCGTAGGGCGGATCTGTCAATTTTAAGAAAAATACGTATTTTTTGCCCTTACACACAAATATTAACACAATTCCGTGATTATTTGTTGACTGTTTTTACTTAATTATGTTCTAGTGGATAGAAAATGAAGAACGTTTTTATTATATTTTTCGCGGCGTTTTCAGTTTGTTCCGCCAATCCTGACGCGAAGAGACTGTATGATGATTTGCTGAGCAATTACAACAGGCTTATCAGGCCCGTGGACAAGAATAACAATACCGTTCTTGTAAAGCTAGGCTTGAGATTGTCACAGCTGATAGATTTGGTAAGTACCCTACACAATAACACTGTGTTATTAACTAAATATTTACATTTAAAAAGATAGTTTCTTATTCGAGGCCAGCATTACTAAATTTTCGAAATAAAGACTAATAAACATTTATACATACCTATAGAAGCGCTGCTTTGAAGTAAGCGCGAAACACACATTAAAATATAACATATAGCTATGTATATGTGTAGATCTAGCGATTTTTTACATGTATATTTAACAAACAATAAATAAGTTTATATCTAAGTTGCTAAAATAAAATTTTATTACCTGAGGATCAGGATTTTGTCAACCCGCATTTGGGGTGACGTTTTAAAAGACTATAAACCTTAATGTTAGTCTTATAATAAATAAACGACCAAATATAACGGGAAAAAACGGGAATAACTTTTGATTATTGTTGAATATTTTTATATGAAGTACTACATATTATTTCGTCGTGAACTATGCTTTTGAGTCCTATAAAACAAACTCTATTTCGCCGATATCTATATAACATATTTTATACCTTATATTAAGTAACAACTAAACAAAAAAAAAAAAAACTATAATTAGTACTAGGTTTAAGGAAAAAAATAAAAGCGTACATTTTATAAACTCGCCCTATGTGCTATATTTAGCATACCCTCATAATACAGGAATTACTTTCGTATCCGGCCCTTGCTAACTCCGAATGTTCAACCAGGAACTCTTCAAGAAATGGTACACAGAAATGTACATAATGCTTAATATGTATGACGTGAGCCCACTGAAATGAAGCGGCTACACTTGCCAAGAGCCCTTTGTTAACATTCTTCACGCGACTCCAAGAATTCCACACGTATCTCTTAAGTTTTGGTGCTTTGCCCTTCATCTGTTTAATGTTCTCAACGGATATGATATTTGTACATACGCTATTGTTAATAATCAACAATTAAATACAGTCTGTAGTTTACGCGAATATTTTACAATGCTAAATAAAACTCTATACTTTAACCTTACCATATTTGTAAATACGTTTTTAAAACAATCGTTTAGTGGTAGTTTACCTAGTAATATTTTTCGCATTTCAAACCGTTAAAAGGTTTTATTGTGTAGATTAAATTAGACAACTTAGAGTACCGTACGTGCTAGAACAACGTACATTTATTGGACATAAAAGTCGGATGAACTATTTGTCTATAAATTAAATTTATTCTTGTCACCAATATTTTTAATGTTTATATAATATTATTGATATATAACTGTCTTGAGTTATACATGTAGAAAGAAAAAGGTAAATAAATGTCTAACTGCAGAAACTCTATATTAATGCCTACAACACAACTCGAAGTTAAAGTTAAAAGTAAACATTTTGATGAAGGTATAATCTATACTAATATATAAAGCTAAAGCTGAGTTTGTTTGTTTGTTTGAACGCGCTAATCTTAAGAATTTCGTGGTAGGAGCTTAAAGGTTCGAATTGAAAAGTTTTTTAGAGCATTTATCGAGGAAGGTCATAGGTTATAAAACAACGTCGTGGGACTAATAGGAGCGAAGGTACAGCGGGAAATGTGCCAAAAATTGGGAAAACCATTCATCATTATAGGTTTTTGAGGCGTCCGCTGCAAAAACGGTACAAGATACCCAAAAAATATGTACGAGAGAATAATTCCTCTTCAAATGATCTTAAGAAAGTCCACGGCGCTATGTCAATCTTTTAAGATAATCCCGCCAGAACGACGGGAAGGGACGCGACCGACTTCGTATGAAATAACTATTCCGTGCGGACTAAGTCGCGAGCATACCAGCCAGTTATATAATATAATTATTATATAAAACAATTAGCTATACAACTCTAGCATTATTCATTAATAATATTTAAGCACAATTGATATTTTTCAAATGTAATTCAAATACATTGAACCCAAAACAATTATGTCATGAAGCTTAGTCAAGTTCGTCGATGGCACTTCACTGATTGGACTCAGCCAAATTGTTTGTTTTGGTGACGAGAGGGCACGTCTCTATATTTAGACTGGATCGTTTTAACACAATTTACTGTCTCAAAGAGAGTAATATTTAAAATTTCTATAGTAAGACATTTCATATATTTACTACCGCATTATTTTTATTAATACTAAGTAGTTTGGGATACGGTAAAAATTTCTCTAGGCGTATAGATGTTGTTGTATATATTAAGATGTAATAACGTTTATTTTTTTAGTCGGTAGACATTTAACGTCTATTGTAGATTTATTTCTTTATTATTCTAAGGCATATCTATTCAACCAGTAACTTTTACCAGCGGGTGTTTGAAAATAAAAAAATCCTTAGCGTATATTTTTACATGGTTTAGTTTTTTGAGCCCTAAATTATATCGATACTATTTATTTATAGCCACGCATTTTTGCTAAAACAATATACCTTACCCCTTACCAGCTGTAACATAGCCGAAACGATTAATTTTGCGGGTCAAAATGTATCACTGTCAAAGTGGGCACGTATGGACGTGGAAAGGGTTATTTCATGTCAAATCTTTGATATGCCCACGTCGTAAATGGAATTGTACTAATGGAGAGTTATAACAGAAGGATCTGAACTAATAAACATATAGTTATATTAATTAATATAAAGTATTTAATATATTATTTAGAAATGTACTTTAAATAAAAACACAATGAGAATGCGAGTTAAACACGAACCCACGACCATACCCTTCCATGCTCTATCACTATGCTACTTTGACGTTATGTTTTTTCCTGAGTACAGATATCCGTGGCCCGACATAAAAGCAAGGATATTGTGTGAATTATACCCACAAGTTTTTTCTCTTTTGTGTCACTTTCCTCTTTTTCACTACGAAACTAATTGTTGTCCTATTCAAAGGCAAAAAAAAACATTTATTCATGTACACTTATTAATGTCACAAAACAAAATATTTGTTTATTTTATATCCGCATAGTATAGCTGTGTTACAACCCCCAAGAGAGCATTTCCCAAATCTTCGGTCGCCCCTTTTCGTCGCATATCTCATTACATTAAACCGTACACAGCGATCTGGTATTTATCTATGTTTATATTAATTTTGATGGCCCCGGGTATTTTTGGCTCGGGCCCAAGAATCAGGATCGATGGCTACAGGGAACCAGAAAGCCATAACAGCGACCGAATTGACTAACCTACTTTTTCTGTTGTTGTATTAAATCGCTGTATTTTTTCTTTCTTTGATACCAGTTAAATCTTAAGTGAATTATTAATTAAAAGAAGTTAACTGTACATTTATGCTTATAGATATACCGTCGTTAAACAGGAGGCCTAATTAATTTCTTAACTCTGAAATAATAAAGTGCTTAATTAAAATTTAACGTGCCTATGGTTATCATAAATTTCAAAGGGGTGAAATGATTTTGATCGCTTCCATTTGTTTGAATGAATAGAAAACAAATTTACAATGTTTGCTGAACAATTCGATGGGAAATTAACGTTCTCGCTTTTATTATGTCTTGATGGAGTTTTAGTGTATAATTTGTGCGATCACTTGTATGCAACATGTCAATAGACCATACTTAAAAAGTATGCATTTGCATACTTTTTAAGATAAGATAATTTTTATTTAATGATGTTTAACTTTTTTCAAGGAAATTTTGGTCAAGGATTAGGTAAAATTCTGTTTTCACTACTGCATAAGAATGTACATTCAACATAAGGGGGAACCCATTTCTGTGTCCGTTTCACGGGAAGATTTCATTTGATCGGACTTTCATGCCTTGACTGCAAACAGGGACTTTTTAACTTTAGACGGAGTATTTTTGACATCAATTACCAATAATTAATTTTGTTTTGTTACAGAATCTTAAGGACCAAATATTGACAACAAACGTATGGCTGGAACATGTAAGTTAATTGCAGTGTCACGCTGTCAAATTAATCTTATTTTTTATAATATATTTATACATTCGTTTTGAAAGCACTTTACTAAATTAGAGTTATCAATAAAAAACTATGAAACTATAGATCTATAGAATATAAAAGTTACACTTCTAACTAAGTTACTACTACTACTACATTTTCTTTATGAGTTAATTCAGTTACTTCTTAGGTTATATGGTGTGACAGCTATATAAAATTGTCACAACGTCTTCGCTTATTTTACGATAATCTTGAAAATTTCGCCGCTCCACTTAAATACAAGGCGCGTGAAGCGTGCATAAAAGGCGTTTAATGAAGGTAGAAATGTTTTAGGAATGGGAAGATCACAAATTCAAATGGGACCCGTCGGAGTACGGCGGTGTGAAGGAGCTTTATGTGCCGTCCGAGCACATTTGGCTGCCGGATATCGTGTTGTATAATAAGTGAGTTTCAATTTATGCCCTTGCTAATGTTCTAGACGCTTCGCACTGAATGAACCGTAATAAAACCCTGAAGAAGTCCTACAATCTATACTAATATATAAAGCTGAAGAGTTTGTTGGTTTGTTTGCTTGAACGCGCTAATCTCGGGAACTACGGGTTCGAATTGAAAAAATATTTTTGTGTTGGTTGAACATTTATAGACTGAAACATCGCGCTATGGCTAATAGAAGCGAAGATACAACGTGAAAAGTGAACAAAACGAGGGAAAAATTTTTTCTCTGTGGTCTCGTACGCTGCGAAAACGGTTCAAGATAACTAAAGAAATGTGTATAAAAGAATTCTTCCTCTTTAAATGATCTAAAAAAAACCCGCGACGCTATATGCCTATCTTTTAAGATTAGCTTGCAAGAATGACGGAAAGTGACGCGATCGACGTCGTGGCTAACAGCTTAAGTTTAGATGACGGGGTTTGCAAAACCTAATTTGGTTGCCCAAAATAACGATTTTCGCAGACGAAGTCGCTGGCATAGCTAGTATAGTATATATGATAGAAAAGGTCAGACATGCATGGAGTTTACGTGATGAAAGGTGAAATACCCTAGCCATATAACATCTTAACGAGATGTTGACCTATTTTGCTTTAGGATATTCGGAAATCTGAGGCTTTTCATCTGCGAATCTTCAATATTCCCACCGCCTATTTAATACTTATGCAGATTTTCAGACGAAGTCCAACGTCTTTCTGAAAATCATACCCGGGGGATCAAACCCACGCCCCATTAATCCACACATTGCTGACGGTAGATCAGCGAGGCCGTCATAAGTGGGGGGGTCTTATGATATAATTGTTTTCATTATTATAAGTGCAACTTTTAAGTAAAAATGGAGTAATAATAATGAACTATTGCGGCATAAGGAATACATAAATTAATAAGCAATTCCTATAAACAGGTTCCGCCTCAAACACTGTCCAAGATTCAAATTAGTTTATAACAGTTCCGGCGAACTTAGCTCTAGAACATTCATTACATTAGCCGGTACCAAATTGCATTGTGGCTGGATAGACCCAATTGCCATGTTGTTAAAGACTAGTTTCCGTTAAACTATAATTAATGGCTTATCCGGTGCACACTGCATGTATAAATTGACCATAATTTTAAGTTAACGGTCAAACTGGTGGAAAACCTAAGCTTGCTCTATGCTCGTCGCCAACATGCCTGACGATCAATAGCGATAGCATTGTAGTATAATAATGCAATAGGTATCGTCTGTGCGTTTATCATCAAAGAGTTATTGAAGGCTATGGAAAAATGATTTTTTTGTCCTTAAATATAGCTCTACTGTTTTCCTCATTCTTAACAATGGTCTAAGCTCTTGGCGCAAGCCATATAAAATTCAAAGAGTGTACTTTTGTGTATATATTAGTTTTATAAAAAAATACTAGTAATTACTCTTATCGTTGATCATATGTGAATCAGCGTTATGTTTAAATGCGTCATTTGTCGAGATTTACCTGTTCGATTTTGCAACTGACGTATTTAGACTGTGCTCACACAATATTGTACCGTTCGACTAAAGACTACCGTTTTCTTGTGACGTAGGCTGACTTATGTGTAATCCAGTTCATTTTGTGTGGAGTGAAACGTTGGGTAAAAGAATTTTATAAATAAATTTAACTATGAAATATCCTATATGATATCGTTTTAAACCGTTATGTGACAAAATATGTATGTAATATAATAATTACGTACATATTTTGAATAGAAACGGTACAATACAATTTTAGCCAATGTTATAATGAATGTTCGTAGTTGCCTCCGCCAGGGCTGTTATAAACCAATTAGAGACTTGTACAACTTGACTTGTTTAAATGAATCGCTTATTTATAGATGTATGAAACAAAGCTATTGCGATAAATCTCGTAGACAAAAAAATAAGGATATTTAATAGATATAAGTACAAAGAATAAGAACTTTAAGTACCCACAATTGTATTGTACAACAATAAAGGGTAATTTTCGATAAGTAAGTAGGCACGAACATATGTAACTCTAACAAGCTAATTCTTTGCTAATATTTACATATACATGTACATCTATCTGGACACATTTTTAGCAACAGACGCGAGATAAAAATAGCTCTCTAATTCAGCTATTTCTGTAAGCCGTTGCGGAAAACACGTTTCTCGTTCATACTCCATTCATAAATTGTAAATGGTGTGTCGTCAGAGCTGTGACGTCACACACGTACGCAATGCAGCATCACAATACAGAGTATGTCGCACAGAGGCAATAACTTCCAAATGTTTATCGCTTCTGGAATGCGGTACGCACACAAAGGCTTAACAAATATGTACTTGTATAAATACAACTTGTATAGGTCAATTATAAACCAAAATGTTTTGGATGTTAACATTTTTCCAATAACATACGTATCTATATTAATGTTATAAAACGGAAGAGTGTCAAGAACTACTGATTCTAATTAAAAAAATTTCATTCCATTTATGATTAAGAAAAACTTTAGAATATAAAACATCACGCTGCGGCCAATAGAAGCAAAGAAACAGAGAGTAATATAGAAAAAATATGCCACCGTTGCGTGCGATGCGAAAACGGTTCAAGATACCAAAAAATATATATGTCCCAATTGTTAATAAAAAATAATCTAAAAAAGATCACCCATAGTATATTATTTTAGGAAGATTGTTTGCTGTAAATCCCGTTTATGTAAGCAAAACGGTGGGAACACATATCCTCGTCAGTGACAATTATGCATTTTTATTTACAATAAAAGTTAAACAAATATTTTATTTTTAGTCCAATAATCGATCTAGCTTAAATATAGCATCTAGAAATTGTGTGATTTTTTTATGATTATGTCACATGATAAGATTAAAAGTGATATATATAACCTCCTAACATATATAATTAACATAGTATAAAGATACTATGTAAAAGTATTCGAGTTTAAAATCCTCAATCACTGTTCCGCTTGATTCGGGTCTTGCCAGAGAAATGGGGTAAATTCTTATCTATGTAAATATTTAGGAAAAGAATTCCTCGAGTTATAAATCTTTCCGTTATATTCTCCGGGGTTCCGACCTCATCTCTGGCCAACTTGCATTTTCTTAGACCACTAGAACATCGTAAAGTAGAAAGCTTTTAAAATAATGCGCTAGCAAATAACTACGTCTGCTCTGAAAGTTTTGGATACGAGATTTTGTAATTTGTAAAACTTGTATAATTCAATTACAGTGAATAGAATAATTTAAAATTTTGTTTGGATAATCAAACTGTGTTGATAAGACGCCTATAAACATCTTTAATTAAACTTTCTTTTTTAAATTAATATAGTAAGATTATTTTCCTTAAATTAATTTTAAATCATGGTTAGACGAAATATTGTTCTTTTGATTTTTATTTTTTCAAATTTAGATGAACCAAGTCTTCAGGTAAACCGTTCAATAAATGAACTTTTGGATAGTCAGTTTTTAATATATTTCAATGTTTTTTTCGTATGTAACAAACACGACATAGTCGTAATTAATTCATGTCGATTTGCTCTTCACCAGAAATAATTTCTTGCTCTTCCAACTGTTAGAAGTATTAGGAATTTAACTATCACAAAAGATGCCTAAAAGAGTTTAATGGTTCATATTTTTTATTGTAACACTGCTTCACACTATATATCATTGATATCGTCTTCCTTGACAATCCCTTCATGCTCGTCAGAAATTAACTCAAACGTAAACATGGACGTATGGACGTAGACGTATTTTGTAGTTTTTAAGTCTAAGAATACCGCGGATTTGCAATTAATGTTATAACATCGCGTTACAACATGTATTAAAATCACGGATACCTGATGTTTTAAATTGATTGTTTGATTAAAAATATAGTTTTTTTTATGTGTAGGGAAAATAAAATGTATCTTCTGTGAATAATTGTTTTAATAATTATTCCGCTCCTTAAAAAAACTTAATTCTTTATAATGTATTTTTCCTAAATGGTTTACATTTTCGACTAAATCAATATAAGAATAAAAATCTACATGTAGTATTAAATATACAACGTAATTTTGTCAGTGTAAGTATATCGCTTGAAACACGCTTAAAAATCAACTGATTAAATAAAATTAAAGTTCTAGCCGATGTACCAAAAACATCTCTTATTATTTCGACCGTCGTAATTAAGAAACCGCGTGATGAAGCCGAAAAGCTCATCGCTTATTAAACATTTTGAGCGTTTTTCTTTTATTTCATAAACTTAATCACTTCCTTATTGTTTAAAAATAACATTCGCTCATTCTTACATCTTAAACCCTAAACATACTGAGCGTAAGATTGGTCGCACATGCGTCTTCCATTCCATTCTCCGTTATGATTAATAGCCGCCCGGTCTGTTTTGACACAACATGATGTATCATTTCCCAACGTTTCTTGTCGATATTATCAATTAACTTTACCTACGTTTACAGCCTTTATGGCGTCATATTTTGTTAACGTTACCGTAATTGTATCTAACCGGGTTGATTTATAAGATCGGACGGGTTTCACCTCAACGCGATTCCAATCTTAAGATAATTATCAGAGGAAGGAAAATAGGAAACCGTAGCGAGACTGCTTTGTTGTTCTAGTGGTTAGTGTATTTTCGGATGAGGAGGTTCCGAAATCGAATACTAGATCCAGTGAAATTTTAATACGGTATTTGGAATTTTCTAAAATCTTTGGTATCAGAGCTGCGGACACAGACCCCGTTTTGAATGCTTTGCAGCAGCCGTAATCACGTCGAGGCCGTAGTTAGAATTATTTTCAAACAAGTTTAACTAATATATATCGCGATTCAAAGTCGAGTTCAAATCAAGTAATATTATTTAAATTAGTGATAGTCATTAAAGAACCCATGATCCACATGGTGCAGAAGCTCTTAAACCATTTTTCCCATAAGTGATGAGATCCAAGCTCACTAAACCAATAGATTGAAATGAGAAATCTTAGCTTTGCGGTTTAATAAGAATCAATTATAGTATCTACAATAGAAATCAATTTGAAATGATTAATTGGATTAAAATATTAATTGACATTCATTGGATTATTATAGCTTTCAAGACGAAGGTACTAAAATATAAGGTTGAAGTAATATGAAATTAAATTAATTTCTATTGACGAATTGGATATTATTAGTATTAGTAGCTTATTATTTTAGTTCGTGATTATTAATTAATAATATTAATTATGAGGCAGTATGTTATAATTAATTTAATTATGAAATCAACATCAAATCCTGACAATCAAATCCCTGTACAAATAGTATTAAATATTTTTTAAAACAGTCTAAATTAGTCAGTACTAAATTAATACTACTACTAAATCACTATGAAAATTTAATTCGCCAGTAAATCAGTCTAGTCTAGTCTATTACAGACTAGCTGTGTCAGCGACTTCGTCCGCGTAGAATTGTTATTTTGGGCATCCAAATTCGTTTTTGCAAACCCCCTTCATCTTTATAAACTTAGTTGTTTCCAACGACGTCGGTCGTGTCACTTTCCGTCGTTCTTGCAAGTTCATCTTAAAATATAGACATATAGCGTCGCGGACTTTTTTTAGATCATTTAAAGAGGAATTATTCTTCGATACATATTTTTTGGGTACCTTAAACTAAATACTGTCTATAGTTTACGCGAGTAGTACACATTTAAATAAAACACTTTAACGGTTTAAAACGCGATATATTAGTTAAACTTATTTGAAAATGATTTTTAACTTCGGCCCGACGTTTCGGATGCTTTGCAGCAGTCTCCCCGTGACCACGGCTGCTGCAAAGCATCCGAAACGTCGGGCCGAAGTTAAAAATCATTTTCAAATAAGTTTAACTAATATATCGCGTTTTAAACCGTTAAAGTGTTTTATTTAAATACCTTAAACTATTTTTACAGCGTACGCCTAGGAACTGATAATAATTATTAATTTTCCCAATTTTTTACACATTTCCCGCTGTATCTTTGCTTATATTAGTCACACGGCGATGATTTTTAGCCTATAGCTTTCCTCGATAAATGTTCTAACCAACATAAAAAAAATTTTCGAAACCATAGTTCCCGAGATAAGCGCGTTTAAATAATCAAACAAACTCTTCAGCTTTATATATTAGTATAGAAGTTTGAAGTAGTATAACATCTTTTTTTAATCTAGTGCTGACGGTGAATACGTCGTGACAACAATGACAAAAGCAGTGCTCCATCACACGGGCAAAGTATTATGGACTCCACCTGCTATCTTCAAGTCTTCGTGTGAAATTGACGTGCGATATTTTCCCTTCGATCAACAGACTTGCTTCCTCAAATTCGGGTCTTGGAGTTACGACGGTGATCAGGTATATCAAATGCTACTTCAAATGTTAGTTACTTTTTAACGACAATCGTGGAACGATGTTCCGTCCTTCTTAATTTAAGTTGGGAAAATACTACCATACTGTTAACTTTAAGCTAAAATAACCCTGCCATATTACATCTCAATAAAATGCTTTCGACCTGTTTTGTTGCTTGACAGTCCATGAGTGTACGTGGTTCTAAAGTAAGTATAGGTATATATGTAAAATGTCTATTTCAGATCGACTTAAAACACATAAACCAAAAGAAAGGTGACATGGTAGAGGTGGGTATTGATTTACGCGAGTACTATCCCTCTGTGGAATGGGATATTCTTGGAGTGCCAGCTGAGAGGCACGAGCGATATTACCCTTGCTGCCAAGAACCCTACCCAGGTGACGTATGGTTTAGATGAACTATCGATTTGCTATCAATACACTCACTAACATATAACAGAAAAGCTGTGATAGCTAGATTTAAAAACAAATGAATACACATTTTAATTATTTTCTCATATTCCGCCTACGTGGTACAGTGATAAAAATTGATGCAGCTAATGATCTGAGCGAGAAGTCTACCAAGAATTATTCAAGATTCGTTCTAGGGATTTGATTAGTCACATATGTGTACAATTAATATGGGCAATATTTTTTTTTTTGCTGCATTATCTAAGAATCTTCGTAACTTTTGCAAAAATCTAAAAACAAGTTTAAACATTGCCTAATCTGCGGTGTAAATTGCGTCGACGACTCTTATCTGCCCTAAATAACCGTTTCCAGGCACCTCGAGCAGGTATCGCTTGTTCTGCTAATACCCACAAAGAGCACTTAGCTCGCGCCACACCCCGTGAATACTGATAGCGACTGATTAATGTCAGTTGTTTGAGCTTAAAGGAAACAATAAATAACCTACCAGTTCAGAATTGGATAAAACAACCGTTATTGTTCCCTATTGTTCTTTTTCCTGACTGTGCAAAAATTTGGTATTTTCCCCGACTTCCCACGTATCTATCAAAATTGTGGTTAAACTAACGTACCAATTATAATAAAGAAATATACATTTATATTATACGCGAATCAAAACACATCTAAAAGAAACATCCAATAAGCTCTCGATTGGTAGCAAAAGAAAGACTTTGCCAGATGATTAAATTATTCAGATCTAAGGTTTGTTTCGTTAGAAATTATGGTCCTATATTTTATTTTTAAAATGACAGAGTTTTCAAGGAATAATTAAAGCATATTAATTATGCAGGAGTATGGCGAAATAGGTCCTTTAAAACGATGAGGAAGAACATAAAATAAACAATTTTTACTTTATAGACAGAAATGAGATTTTGCGAGTCTATTAATAAAAATTCATCACCCATAAAATTAATTCTGCTTTTAAATTAACAAAAAAGTTCCAAGTCCCCCGGGGACCGTTCGCGAAATGAAAGGGCACACAAAATGCGTGATTATGGAGTCAAAAATGGTTTTATCTGATGTTGGTTTTTATCTCCTTTAAAGTGATTGCAAAATAAAATAAAGCATACTAATTTGAATAAACCTCTTGTTTACCATATAAAAAAATACAAGGGAATTCTTAAGTTACACTTATATCAAAAACATATAGAAACAAATGTTTATATCGGAATGTAAATTATATTGTAACTTGCCAACTCAATAATATACCTAATAGTAATTGTTGTGTTTTGTTACAGATATTTTCTTCAATATAACACTTCGAAGGAAAACCTTATTCTACACTGTCAATCTCATAGTACCGTGTGTTGGCATCTCATATCTATCGGTCCTTGTTTTTTACCTTCCGGCTGACTCTGGTGAAAAGATCGCATTGAGTATATCCATCCTCCTTTCGCAGACTATGTTCTTTCTTCTGATATCAGAAATTATACCGTCGACTTCACTGGCTTTGCCCTTATTGGGAAAGTATTTGTTATTCACCATGTTGCTAGTAGGACTATCAGTGGTCATTACTATAGTAATACTAAATGTTCACTACCGAAAACCGAGTACACATGAAATGGCACCCTGGGTGCGGACTTTTTTCATAACTATGTTGCCAAAGTTGCTACTGATGCGTGTACCGAAGGATTTACTAAGAGATTTGGCAGCTCAGAAGATCATAGGTCGGGGGAAGAAGAAGAACAAGTTCAAGGATGCTTTGGCAGCGGCTGAGAGGACCCACTCAAATGCTTCCAGTCCTGATTCTCTTAGACATCATTTACCTGGAGGGTGTAATGGTCTACATTCTACTACTGCGACTAATAGGTAATAGAAGTGTATTCTCTAAGTTATGAATGGTAAAATAAGAAGTATGTGAGTAACTGACTTTACTTGATAAGTTTTAAGAAAGACCTAATCCATCATTATTTTGTATCAGATTCAGCGGACTCGTTGGCGCCTTAGGCAGTCTCGGAGCTGGTTATAACGGTCTCCCATCTGTTATGTCTGGTCTAGACGACTCTCTGAGTGATATCACTCCCCGAAAAAAGTATCCCTTTGAACTGGAAAAGGCAATTCACAACGTCATGTTTATTCAGCATCACATGCAGCGGCAAGATGAGTTTAATGCGGTAAGTACATTTGTAAGGAAAGTTATTCTTACAGTTTTTCTAGAACAAGAATGCCGAAAAGTAAGAATGCCGAAATTTGGTGCGGGTCACAAACTATAGTTCACAAATGAAAAAGCATAATCATTAGATTTCATCAGATATTTTTTTTTATATCATTTTGTGGTCCGAAAATGGAATTTCCCTTAAGTTGTTCACAGGGGAAACACAAAATTATATATTATATCCGTTATATACAACAGAAAAGTGCTATTAACTTATTGGTTTTCTTTCACAGGAAGATCAAGATTGGGGCTTCGTCGCAATGGTCCTAGATAGACTTTTCTTATGGATTTTCACGATCGCGTCTATCGTTGGCACATTTGCCATCCTCTGCGAGGCTCCATCATTGTACGACGATACTAAACCGATTGATATGGTATTGTCATCTGTAGCCCAGCAACAATTTTTACCAGTTGAGAGTGGTGATTCGTAAATATATTTTTATTACTTTTTTAAGCAAACTTATAAAAGCACAAATTCTTTACAAAATCGTACATATGTTATTCAAATTACTTCGATGTTTAGAGAATTTCTTATAAATTGAAAATATTCCAGTTACATCTGACTAAAATGTAATTTTTTCATTTATAATGTTGTATTCATCCAAGCCAAAAAGGCTGTGAAATAAATATAAGTCGTAGTTTATCTAGTACGTAGTAATCTTCGAATAAGAGTTTGAATATCTTAAAATGTAAGTTCATGAATAGTGTAAAAAATCTTTTGAAATGGAATGCACAAAACTATTTTACAACGTAATTAACTGGGAGGTAACAAAGGAGTCCGTTACGAAAATTGGACGACACTTTTAATTCCGAAAAGGTCATCAGCCACCTGAAAACCATTATTAATCCCACGAAGACATCATTAATTACGAGAGAGGTGGGAACGACACAATGAATCTTCCAAAATCGATTACACTAATAAAATGTTTTTCGAGTGTTGGTTCCAGAAAAGCGGACAAATTTATTTTCTTACGTTTTTTAGCTTGTTACCCCTATATGGAGTATGGGGCTCATTTATATGATGCCTGTTTCAATTATAGCTTTAAAGTTACCAGGATCTTATAGCGATTAAGGCAATGCGTTTACCAATTATCCAGTGGCAGAGAATATAGAAAAATAGGTTTATCTGACAATCATTAAAATATAAAGTCTACTGACCATAAGTAAGTTATTTTAACCAGGCAATACAAACAATAAAAATGCTAATTACGAATAAACAAGAAGAAATAACTTTAGTATAATAAGTTTGAACAGTTTTAGTATTATTGATAGACTTTACACCTTTGACTTAGACATTAAAAACGCTCAAAATTTCAAATATTTCCGCTAAAACGTTGATATAATATTCGGCTGTGTTAGCGTTAAGTACTTTAACTATAGGTGTTTTAGAGTACTGCATATTGAAATGGTAATGGTATATTCCGAATTCCACCACGTCGTAAGCTAATTCAGCATCGCTCATAAATATACATGCGTTTAAGATTGTCTTCCCCACGTTACTCCTTAGGCTGTAGTCTCCTATAAACATTGTAAGGAAGCGAATATACTAACACATAATTTTAAACTAGACTAGCTAATACGGCAAACATTGTTTTGTTGTTTGTAACATTATGTTGATAAGATTCTAACGAATAATTAGTTACGATGCATTATTTTTTGACTTTTATTTATTATCATAAAAACATAGTTATAAGTTATGTACTAATTTATGTTTTTGTTCGTTAATAAGTACATCGCTACATATTATTAAAGTCGTTAAACACGTCGGCGTTCAAATTCAGTGACTTAGCAGTTCTTCAAAATCATTACGACGTTTCACGTTGTAAGCGACGCGCGTTTATAGCAGACCTCAGCCTTATACATTTACTTTGTGACGATTCGTGTATAGTATAGTAATATAGTCTATAGAAATAATAATTGGTTTTATTTTCTTAAATAGCTCCTCTCACTTGATACGGTAGTAAATATAATTAGCTTAATTAAGAGTACAGTTTTGGTTTATAGAGAGAAAAACATGTTTACATTATTTACTAAAAGGTGTGTTATATATTAGTTACTTTCAGAAATTTGTGACCTTTTTATTTATTAGTTTGAAAGAGGACTGACTGTCTCCAATTTTTTTTAATATTAGGATTGAAAAACAAATGACACGAGCAAGGCTTAACCTGCCTACAACTCGACCGCCCTATCTGACCGCCCGTATTTTTTTAATGTCATTTGAAACAAACTATTCAACGTTATAGTTAACGGAGCCTAGTATACAATTTGGAAATAATAACCAAAGTAAAGAACTTATGATACCATCGGATAACGCAGATCAATTACAAGCATTTATCTAAGTTCGTATATAGGTTGTTGTATATTATTCGCTCAGCCATACCCGCTGAGCTGAATAATAAAATTTTCATCTGTAGACGAAAAGACTTGTCATATAGAACCTAGGTTCCGGGAAAAAATAGCCCAAACATTTTTGAGAAGTTTTGAAATTGCAGAACTGTCGATATAGTCGCCGAGTCACCCGGTCAGCTATGTATTATTCAGGGCAACAGCAAACAACTCAACTGCCCTTCTCCGTATTTTATATTGAGTTTAGACTAGTTGAGAATTTCGTTCAATGAAATATTGATGAGGGTGGACTTATAAGGCAATGAATCAACGAAAAATTCCGTTTAAAAGCTTATCGCTTAAAAATTACAACACCTTTTACGTACAACAAAACACTTTTAAGAGTTTCAATAAAAAATGAAACAACCTGTTTAGCTTATTTTTCGCGTTATAAACTGTTAAAACTGTGTTGTTTAATATGAACCATTCTGAATATAATATCATATACACTCGTATAACTTCTACTATTTTAAAATTGCATATTTGTTCTTAGAAGTCGAAAAATGAAAATCTTTAGTAAATAATTGCTGAGTGAAAGTCTCGTAAAGTTTAAATAAAACAATTTAACGGTTTAAAACGCGATATATTACTTAAACTTATTTGAAAATGATTTTTAACTTCGGCCCGATGTTTCGGATGCTTTGCAGCAGCCGTGGTCACGGGGAGACCGTTAAAGTGTTTTATTTAAACGTGTACTTCCCGAAAAGTTATATGGACAAAGCTCAAGACATACAAATGTACCTCCTACATTTTCTACGGATTAGGCATACTAAGGCCCTATTTTAAATTCAAATAACGCGACAGTATAAAATTCAGACTATTATTTAAATGTTAAAGAATTATTATGTTTACTTATTTTAACTTTGGACATTCATTAATCAACAGACTGAAATCGAAACTGGTTTGAAATTGCTTTGTCTTCCGTGTTGATATTTTTGTACCTATTTTAATTTATCTATTTGTTTTCAGACAACAATATACAATCAAATAACTACTAAATGGTAAAAAATATCAGAAACCAGATCAGAAACTTCAGCCATAGAGTGTGTTTGGGTCATCAAAGTCCCAATAAACCCCTTTGACATTTAAATATGAAATACTTAGTATAATCAGGGTTAATGTTAGGCATTCAATCAGACGTCGCGAGCAGGCCTGCATTAAAAACGTCTGGTCTTCGGCTGCAACTGTATACATGGTGCTGGCGTGAATCCAACTTGTTCGCTTTGGTTTCTCTTTCCCACAGACAGCGGTTTTTATATCATCGATGTCTCTGACGTGTGGGCTTTATGAAATCTGAATAGCTTGGCCGGTATCCTAATTTTTAAGAAGAAAACGATTAGCGAAAATTATACATCACGCTTTCTTGAATAAGTAGGCTATAACTTCGACATGTTTATAAACATCTGAGCTTATTAAATACCCGGAAATATATATATATATACCGCGGGTGGGACTCGAACTATGAACTGATTTCGCGCTAGTGTTATCTTTTTATCATAGGCAGGGTAATTATTCTCTTTATGAAAGTACTAGCTGTGTCCGCGACATCGTCCGAGTAGAATAGTAATTTTGAGGTTAAAAGTTCGTTTCTGCAAACCCCTTCATCTTTATAAACTTAAGCTGTTACCCACTACGTCGGTCGCCTCCCTTTCCCTCGTTCTTGCAAGTTAATCCTAAAAGATAGACATAAAGCGTCGCGGACTTTTTTAAGATCATTTAAAGAGGAATCATTCTTTTTTACATATTTTTTGGGTATCTTGAACCATTTTTGCAACGTACGCCCCGGAAACCCATAACGCTCAATAATTTTATAGCCTATAGCCTTCCTCTGTAGTTAAGGTTACTTCCTTATATAAAACATAATATGACATGCATATATGTATATCTATTCTATCACAAAAGTTTCTGTTTTAACGAGCTTGCATTTTTCAAATAAATCTATAATTTTTCTGAAACATATTGACTTTCGTCGAGGAATGTGGATTTTATATGGAAGACCCATTTAAAATTCAGATTTCAAGACGATATCGAAATTCCGCCCAGGTCAAGAACCACCGTCCACAGATTTAAAAGTCCTGAAGTTGTCTATCGTATTTCCGAATATCCAAAATCAAAATATGGTTCTTTTAATTAATTTAGTCAAAAATGTTAAAATTTTCGTTATATTTGGGACTGGGACTGGGGTAACAAAATTATGATGATATTAAAACGGGAAGGGAGGTTACCAAATTAGCTATTACGAATTAACCGAAAAATCCGGATCTAAAAACGTTTTTAAGCTATGAAAAATCCTCACCTTCTTATTCAAACCACGCTCCCTGAAGATATTACTAATGGCCCTCTGTTTGAACTCGCGAATGCTGTTTACTTTTGCTTTACAATGAATGCCTCGTTAGGAAACCATTTTATGCGCTCCAATAAAAGGATATATCTATTAGTAGTTTTATCACGGTATACTATAATCATTAATGCTGGTTTTAGACTACGCTATACTATACTTTTTTATAGCATCAATAACGCGTGCCGTACAAATTTTCAAACTATTATATTTACGTTATCTATTATTTTGGTTCTTTTATATTGTATTGTGATCAGTGCGGCCATGATTAAAAAATGCATAATAGATAATTATGTTTACCAAAATTTACGGTTTAAAAATTATTTATTTCTCTAAACTAGGGTTATTTGTTTTTACAAATTTAATGCTACTCCCAAGTCTCACCGTCTTAAAGTATACAATATAGGCTACATTAATCTATATAAAATGACAACATGGTTTGATTAAAAAAAGACGGGGAGACTCCCCGTCTCCCTGACCACGGCTGCTGCAAAGCATCCGAAACGTCGGGCCGAAGTTAAAAATCATTTTCAAATAAGTTTAACTAATGTATCGCGTTTTAAACCGTTAAAGTGTTTTATTTAAGGGAATCTTGAGAAAGACAACATATTTCATCATAATCGGTTAATACGATTTATCATAAAAGAGTTACAGACATCCATTTATGACTTATTTAAACGTTTCGCTTTCCTACAAAGAATAAAAACA